CTCAAGCGGTTTGAAGGTTAGAGATCCCTTGTTGCGCATTCACTTGTCTCCATAGCTAAGTGGCTTGACCCCAACGATGCCGTGGACACCCCGATAGAGTGACTTTGACATAATCAAAGATCAAGGACTTAACCACAAGACAACTGTGATGCCTCAGGTCAAAGGACTAATTTGCATTATCCCAAACATGAGTTCTCATGTGACATGGAATATGAGAACTCTTCTTTGATCACGTTCAGTGAACTCATTCTCTATTGAGCACCTACCGTACTTGTCTTGATGCCACACACACCAATGACTCGAGACTAATCACTCTCCCTGAGAGAAGACATAGTACGTACCGATCTTGACGGACTGTCAATGCCCAATTGGTAATCCTATGATCAGGAACGTTTAGGATGTGTCTACGAAAGAATGGTCTCATGAATCTAACTTCATTAGATTGCATTCTCCCAATCACATATTCCTAGGACTTTATTGTTTAAGCATATAACATTTATATGAGACGGCTCAAACAATAATCTTTGCCCTTTATGTGTAAAACTAGATTAGTTTAACATGTGAAATGTCCGTAAAGTATCATCACATGATTGGCTTTAGGGCACATTTCCAACAGGATCTTCCTTTTCTTTGAATTGTTGGTGGCCCCCAAGTGCTCTGATTCGACGAAGATGTCATTGATCCAAATCGTCTTGGTTGGTTGCTCTTCATTGGTGTTTGTGTTCCTTCTAAGCTGCACAGCCGACTTGTCTAAGTACCTGTCGACCTTGCCTTCTTTTACAAAATTCTAGGAAGTTCTTCCAAGAATAGCATTTGTCAGTTGTGTGACTGAGACCTCGGTGGAATGCGCAGTACTTAATGTGATCAAACTTAGAAGTATCTCCCTTTGATTGTTTCGATAACTTGAACCATGGCTCACTCTTAATGTCGCGAAGGATTTGGTGGATCCAGATTGAGAACTTAGAGTAGTTATTGGTTATTGAGCCTTCTTTGGTTGTAGGTCGGTCCCTACGCTTAGCCTTCTGCCTGCTTTTGTTGTACTGTTTCCCATCCTCCTTCCTTTGAGCCACTGCCGACTCTATTCAAGGCTATTTGGGTGCCTTGTCTTCTCGTCGAGCCCGTCCCAAAGTGCATGCTTTTCTGCTAGAGTTAGGTCTTCTTTCATGATCAATTCTCCAAACAACGGGTGGTCTGCTGTAATCCTTTTTGGAAGGCTACACTTGCTATCAAGTCGTCGCATCCGACTATCTTTACGTTCTCTGCTTTGAACCTCTTCACGTAGTCGCGAAGCGACTCCTTTGGATTCTTCTTCACATTGAACAAATGGTCGGACTTTTTCTTGAAGGAGCAGTAGGATGAGTATTCTTTGGTGAAAACCAAGGAAAGATCATCAAAACTTCGAATGGATTGAGGCGGTAGGGTATGAAACCAATCTTGCTCCTCGCCTTGTAAAGTGGTGCCGAATATCTTGCACATAAGAACATCGTTGTTCCGATAAAAGACCATAATGCTTTGGTAGTGCTTCAAGTGCCTCTCCGGATCTCCATTTTATTTGAAAGATGTGAAATATGGCATGTTAAACTTGTGTGGAGGCTCTGCTTCCTCGACCTCGTCCATGAAAGGTGACCTGCTCATATTGGTCATGTCTCGTCATAATGCTTCATCGGTGACTTCATTGCGTTGGAAATCACATAATCATTCTTTTAAGGGTCTCTCTACCTATTCCTGAATCTGCCTTTGTTGGTCTAGCAGAGCTCTCGGTTGCCCTCAGTCTTAACCTGTACGTCTAAGCTGTTCTTCTACATGCTCGGCTCGTCTATACAGTGGCGGCAATGCATGTGGTTCGTTCCTAGCAAGCTACCAGTTAAACTTGAGTCAGATTGAGTGACTGCTTCTCTCAGTCAGTCATGCTGCCTACTCTGATGTGATGTGAATGATGCTCCTTGCGAGCCTAGCCGCGAATGAAAGTTTCCTCTGGAAAGCTGCTCATGTTGATTATCGGAGTATGATCCCAACTGTGAGTGTATGCTCGTCCGTGGGCCTAGTTGAGAGTGCACGCTCCTCTACATGCTAAGACGGGAGTATACGCTATTGAATGCCCAATCAGGAGTGTGCACTGCCTGAACACTTGATTTGTGGCTGGTCGAGTGGCTACTTGCCGAGACACTGCTGGAAAGGTTCATCATCTACCTTTGTCCTACTTCGGGACACCTCGTCTGGGCCACGTTGCACAACACTCTGTAAGAGTTGATTCACCAAGATTGTCTAATGCGCAAGAGCGTTTGTCAACTCTATGACTTGTCAAGACAAGTGTTGTTCGCCATTCGGATTGGAAGAGCTTGGAATGAATGCATCTCCCCTGAGCAATAGAAGTGTGGTAGATTCCAGGTGCGAGATTCGAATTGGGGTATGTCAAATGCATAGAGAAATGTGGTGAAAATGCCCCCGATTCAATCGTAGGCCCCGAAATTTGAAGCCAGGACGGTTGAACCGGTCTTGGACCACTGGAGTGGGCTACTCGGCGTGTGGCCCATGTGGGTGTGAAGTTAAGGCTCGGCTTGGCAACGCGTTGGGTTTGGGTAGCTCGGGCCAGCTTGCTTTAGCTTAGGTGGCTCGACTAGGGCTTGGCCCTTGAAGCTTGAAGTGGCACGGCTTGGACCGTCACCTTAGCGCCGTGGGTTTTGCCGAAGGTAGCCACTGTGGTGGTTGCTATGGTGGTGCCCCGTGAGGGTGGTGCCACTCCACTCATCGTTGTGTTGAGCCTTGTAGATCGCCACAGTCCTAATTCTTGAATGTTGAAATTTCCATTCATCAAGGTTTCTGAATCTCTTGCCATTGTACTTTTCTTTTACATTTTATCAAAGAATTTTTAGAAATAAAAATGTACAAAAAATCTACAAATGAACAAGAAAATGAAAAACCTTGAATGCGATAGTCTTCTATAAGTGTACGACTCAAGCTCTCAATGAAAGCATCAATTTGTGGATGCAAATTTCTACCTTCTTCTTCTTGGACAAAATTGCACCTACAAAACACTTAACACCTTAGGTCAGGGCCAAGAGCCTCACATGCCCACAATGAATGGGTGGTGAGGGGGGGGGGGGACTTGGCCGAAGAACCTCCGATGCCAAAGTTAGAACTTGAGGGAAAAGTGTTTAGAGAAATTTTGAGAATTTAGCAAGAAAGTTGGAATTACGTTTTTGGAGAAATGGGGCGGTATTTATAGGGGTGTGACCGGCCCTATTAGGAGAATGGGGACCGGCCACATTTGGTGTTTTTTGGTGTTAAAATCAATTAATTAGCTAATTAATATAATTTAGAAGAAATAATTTAGGAGTTACCTTGTGGGGAGGATTTGATGAGGATGGATGAAATAGATTTTGAATAATTACCTATTTTGATCACTTTTGACATTGATTGAGTCGTGATAGTCTGCTACTTGTGCGTATGAGTTCCGATGTGTTTCGAGGGTAATTTTGTCTTTTTACCCTATAATCCACATGTTGCCTCCATATTTTTCTTGATTATTTTTTGCTTTACAATGGGGACAATTCAAGCGCATCTTGCCTTGAACTTGGCACTGTTCGCATGGTTATATCAATCAAGACTCATTGGAAAATAGATTGAAATTCTTTCTGGTCTCTTAGCACCTTAGCATTCTCATGAGTTACTGGCAGCTTCCTTACCTTTTCATACTCATTTTTTCATGAAGGAGGAAAAGTAAGTTGAACACACTTGTAGACTTTTGATTGCACGACTTTCAATCGCTAATCATTATGACTTGTGGGAGCGAGTTGTGATCCGCCGAGAACAGGTGTGACTGTATTTTGTACATCATCGTGTGATGAAGAGTGTCTACAGTTTCTCCTGCACGCATATTTGCTCTTTACAGCTGGATCATCACTTGTAAGGTGTTGGGAGAGTGTGGGTCTGGTGAGACCAAAAGTGAAATTAGGTTCCACTTGGACAAGTACGTGTCCATTATAGAGTCCTACTACTTCAGTTGCCATTATTATTGCAACTTCAAAGATAGTCCATCGCGTGTCTAGCAAAACTAGGAATTGGAGCACAAGCTCAGGATCCTGCTGACCAGCCCATATAAGTTGTTGAATTTTGATCAAATGACTACAATTATTATAACTTTTAGAAGAATTTTCTATTTGTAGCCGTTGGATCAGGAGGATCCTGAGCTTGTGCTCAGAGAGGATCCAATTCCGCAAAACCCTTGGACATGTGATGTTTTTGCTAGCTAAGATATTGGGTTGTATTTCCAATCTTATGGCTTTGAGATGTAGTCCTCAATAGCCATCTCTCCAGTATCCTTACTGATCTTTACAAGATGGAAATAAATTTTAAAGAGCTAGAAATGGTTTGTACAACAACAGTAGATTACTTGTATACAAACGCTAACTTGGGTTGTGCTATAGGTACAAGACTCCTAAATGTTCTAGAAACTAGAGAATTTTTATAAGATTGGTAAGGATTTAAGGGATTAAGCTTAAAAGGTGCAGAAGATGAACCTGGAGCTTCTGCAGTCCAGTTAGACTCGAAGTGATAGTTTGGTGCTACTCGTGACATAAATTCTCGAGAATCTGAATCAACTAACTCAGATGGGGTTATTTCTGCCATGCTCCCACCAACACTGGATCCTCAGGAGGGTTTACACCAATATGACCTCGAATAGGAAGACTCAAAACAATTCGTTGGGACTTACAACGCCAACCCTTGCTATTGCCCTTGTGTTTACCAACTTCCTAAAGGTACTTAAAATATGAAAGAGACTTTTTGGAGAGAACTTCACTGAGATTCAGTTCTGATGCAGACGATTAGACTTTCGCTTCAATTGCAGAGGATACTAAGAATCTGAGTAACAAGGAATACACAAAACATTTTTGAGCCACTAGAAGAGGATGGCTCTGATACCACTAAAATTTGAAGTTTTACTCTGACTAGAATCTTCGCTGAGGATGACTCAAATAAGGATATTCACTCACGAGAAGTTTATACAAAAAATTGATTTCCATTCCAGTATGCCTTTTTACATAAAATACACACATATTTATGGGCCGAGGAGTAACTCTTCCGAACCTCACCTAAAACTATCAGGGGACATGAGACATCTTCCTCTTTTGTCCATTCTTTACACAATATAAGGAGGAATCTCCGTTATATCATAATCAACAAAATTTTACTTCACAATCAAACTATTCTAGATAAAATTCTTTACTTTACAACACTTCAACTACTATTATACAATTTCTCATGTCTATTTGTTACCCTCTTGTCACATCTTGTCACCATTCACCACGCTTCCATATGCTTTAATCACACCCATCATTAGGCTAGTATTCATCATCAAGTTCCTCTGAGTCATCATATCCTCCCTTGAGTCTTGTTCATTCTAGAATAAGTATTCTGGTTCATGCTGCCATGTGTGTAGCTATGCTGAGCTTTTTGGAGTTGTACCATAAATATGTATGTCATCTGCAACATGTACTACATAAATGGGGGCAAGAAAATTTCTGATGGTAAGACACGAAATCCATCGTTGTGGGTCTTCATGGTAATGATAACGTAGAATATATAGTGGGATTCAGATTATTCCAATATTTGCTCAAGCAAATTATGATGACTACTCTACCTAAAACACTCTTCTATGAAGATGTTCAAGATTAGCTTATTTAGTGTATGAGTCGGTATGTCTAGCCTACATAATATATTTTTCTAGCTTACGCACTACGTTTGGGAATTTGTATATGTTGGAAATGTGCCCTAAAGCCAATCATGTGATGATACTTTACGGACATTTCACATGTTAAACTAATCTGGTTTTACATATAAAGGGCAAAGATTATTGTTTGAGCCGTCTCATATAAATGTTATATGCTTAAACGATAAAGTCCAAGGAATATGTGATTGGGAGAATGTAATCTAATGAAGTTAGATTCTTGAGACCATTCTTTCGTAGACACATCCTAAATGTTCCTGATCATAGGATTGCCAATTGGGCGTTGACAGTCCGTTAAGATCAGTACGTACTATGTCTTCTCTCAGGGAGAGTGATTAGTCTCGAATCATTGGTGTGTGTGACATCAAGACAAGTGCGGTAGGTGCTCAATAGAGAATGAGTTCACTGAACGCGATCAACGAAGAGTTCTCATATTCCATGTCACATGAGAACTCATGGTTGGGATAATGCAAAGTAGTCCTTTTGACCTGAGGCATCATAGTTGTCTTGTGGTTAAGACCTTGATCTTTGATTATGTCAAAGTCATCCCACCAGGAGGGTGTCCACGGCATCGTTGGGGTCAAGCCGCTTAGCTATGGAGACAAGTGAATGCGCAACAAGGGATCTCTAACCTTCAAACCGTTTGAGGGAGAATACTCTCTGATATGATTTGAATCTCTGGCCAGAGTATGAATGAGATTTAGGAATGCGTTCCAAATCACATTCAAGGTAATCATATAAGCACAAGACACACATTGGATAGTAGACATGAGAAAATAAACTATCAAACCAAACAATGTGGTCAAGAGTATTAGATTAGAGAAGGACCGTATTGCATTTGTAATCTCGAACTGAATAGGTTCTCTAACCTCTTCTGATTAGCTTGGGTAACCATGATATGCTGCTAGGTGTCACTCATGGTTTGTGGAAGCCCTAAACGTGTATAATCACTAAAGGGAGAATTGAAAATAGTTTCAATTCACAATCGATGTAAAATGGTTTTAATCGCCCACTACCTCGTTAAAAGGAACCTAATGGATCGCACACCGTGAAAGGTGGAGATTGGAGATTAAAACGGAAATGAGTAAGAATGATTAAATGGTTTTAATCATTTATTTATGGCAAGGATTAATTAATATGTTAATTAATCAAACGAATAAGTTCGTTAAAGACTTCGGGATAGTTTTGGACCTTAAGGCCCAATGGGCTTCGAACGTCAAGCCCATTAACTTAAGTTGTATGACAATTTAATGAATAAAGATTCATTAAAGCCCAAAAGCCCAAATCCCATAAGGTGGCCGGCCATATTAGATGAATTAGGGTTGTTTGGTTATTTAGGTCACTTAAAGAAGTGACTATATAAATGACTTTATAACTAAATATACATTAAGTGAAAAATGGGTTTATTTTTGGGGAAAATAGGTGAGAATTGTCTCTCCATTTTCTCTCTAAAGAGGCCAACACCTTGGAGGGTACATCTAGCAATCCTACTACTCCAAGGTCACTCATTTCTTCTACAATCGAACCTTGGTGTCGAGAATTAGAGGTTCTCAATTTTGGGAACTTGGAGAACCTATTCTTCCATCCAAATCCATGGATCTAAGAAGCAAGGAATGAAGGCCCTTATCTCTTTGGGTGATTAGCCTTTGCTTATGCAAAGAGGAATCTACAAAGGTATTAATTTCAACTCACTTATGTTTTGAGTTGATTATTGGTTCACCAATCTACTAGGCTTTGAATTTCATGGTCATGTTTTGTTTTTGAGTACATACAAGCATGATTCCGCCTTTTAATTGTTAATTGCATGCTATATGATGTTGCTCAAATGAACATGTTTTACAAAATAAATCCTTCAAGTGGTATCAGAGCCTAGGTCTAGTAGTTGGTGAATCCTTTTGTGTTTTGTAGTTCATAAGTTTGTGATTTAAAAGTTGTAATTGTTACAAGCTTTATTCTTGCTTCTTTGAAAGTAAATTTTGTTGGAAAATTTGCTATCTCAAATGTTGTAGATGTTGTTCATATGAGCATGAATATTTGAGCTAAAATTTGGTGCCATGCTTTTGGGAAAATTCGGCCAAAATCAAAGGGTGAATTTTTGGGTTCTTGTTTGACTTGTTAAAAGTGTTTTAATGTGTTCTTTGGAACCCCTAAGTACCCTAGTTTGGTTAGATGTTATTTCCCTTAAGTAAGAATGGTTTTGGAATGTTTTTTGGAAAAAGTTCATGGAAAAATTTGGGTTTTTCATGGATGTTCTTCATTGTTCTTGATGTTCTTGCCAAGAACAAAAAGGTTTGGTGTATTGATTCAAAGTTTTGAATTTTATTTCATAAAGTATATGTGATATGTTTTTAAATGATTTATTATGTATTTAAAGTGTTAGATATTTGTATAAATGATGATTGAAATAATTGTGATTGAATTATTTCAAAACTTATCTTACATACACTTGCATGTTTTTGACAAAACTCACTAATCAACACACACACCAACCTTATCCTCTCCCTAAAACCGGCCACTCCCTCAAAGGGAGTACTTTTGGGGCTTTTATGCAATTACATAAAGTTTTGATACTTTTGTGTATTTGCACTTTGGCCTAAAAGTTTACGTTTTTACGTTTAGGTCCAAAAACGCTAAAGGACAAATTGTTTTGATCCTTTAATGATGTTTTTGCATTATTAAAAGTTTGGGTTCTAGTTGTATTTACATGAAGTTGTGACTTTTGTGTATTATACAAAGTGACCCCAAAAGTTTTTGTTATTGCAATATGGCCCAAAAGTTGAGGTTAATTGCATGATGGCCCAAATAGGATGAGAACAAAATTGTTTTGTCTCTTTAAATGAGAATTGGATTTTCATTTTGTTTAGCTCCATTTAAATCAATTTTATGGATACAAAAACCAAATGAAAATGTTGCATTCATTAATTAGTTAAAGTGTTAATTAATTAAAGGGTGATTATGAACCTAAGCCTAATATATAATTGAGCTATGTGAAAGGCGTTTCAAATTTGTTTGAACCATGGGAATGTGTAGATTAGATTTTGGTTGTAATTTGATTTGATCAAATGTTGTAAAAGGGCTTAAGCTCTTCTTTACTTTAAAGTAATTTGTTATATGCAAATGTTGTAATGAGCATAAGCTCACCTTTACTTTGAAGTACTTCTTTCTTGCTTTATACGATATGCATGAAAATGAATTAGTTGGGTCCAACGCCCCTAAGACAACACGCCTTAATGTGATTAAACGCGTAACTAAAATCAATCTTCATTCCTAGACCGAGATTCAACACAAGGCTCGTGTTGAATCTAAACAAAGGTTCATAATCATCCTTAGGCCCTAAGGCAACTATATAGTCCATCAAATGAATGCAAAGTTTATGTTAGTAGTATCATATACTCTTGCTTAAAAATCGTTTTATAAGCATGGTGGGAGTATTATGTACAACTAAAACAATGAGATGGACCAATAGTTGTAAAAGGACCAAAATTGTTTTAATAGAGATTAAAATGAATGTTTATATGTGATGAGACCTAAAACCCTCAACCAAACCAATATTAAGTTGATAAGCGTGAGAGTGCTTAGAACACTCTTTCGTGGCCTTCCACCGTGGTGGGCTTCAATCGTTTGTGACTCGTACAATGTATTCGTCCAGTTCTGGGGTTGCAAAGTATGTGCTTACATTCAGGAGAAGCCTATACACATATGATGAAGTGAAAGGTAGGCAACGAGTGTGGCCAATATGGAGTTCTTCTGAGGCCATTCTTGAACCCCTACTTGAACTAGCATGGTGGGAATGACTTAACTAAGTGCAATGGTGCCAATATGGAGTTCTTCTGAGGCATCATTCTCTAGAGGCCAAACGAGATGGGTACTTGCATTAGTTGCAAATGAGTAAGCGTACTCTCTCATTATTATTGTTGCTAGCCAATATGGAGTTCTTCTGAGGTGGGCTTGGTAATAGTAAGCCTCCCATAACCTACTAAGAGTTTCATCCAAAACTCTCGAATTCCTATGAGGGATATGGAATTTGCCAAAAATAGTGGGTGGTGCTATTTTGATTTAAAGACCCGAATCAAATGGCTTAAAATCAATCAATCTATATTCGTTATGTATTTGTTTACCAATATATTTGCAAACGCTATCCAACACTTGACAAAACCGAACGTTTAGTTTACGGACTTGGTACTACAATCCCATAGAATGTCTTAAATGGATTGTATATGTATCTAAGTAGTCTCTTCCTCACAATCTTACTATTGATAATGTATCATTAGAAGAATATGTTAGAAAAGGTCTATCATAAAGAGGACAACACTTTTAAATGTCATAATTCTTCAATTACAAATCGTTGTATGAAGAAATAGGAGTTGCTTTGAACAACTCTTAGTCAATGCAAACACTAGTGCTTGTTTCTTTGTTAAATGAACAAAGAACTTGAGAAGAAAGCACAAAGGCATGAACACTTAAATGTGCCATGATTCTTCATTTACAATTGTTGTATGAAGAAATGAGAGTTGCCTTGTACACAACTCTTGAAGGTTTGTAATTATGTTTAGAACATAATGGTTGGTTGACAAAAATAGTCCATTAACATGGACTTATGATGATTTTGAATCATTGAATGTTGAAGTGATAAACCACTTAACGAGACGGAAACTAGGCAAGGACTTCACCTTTGTGTCCCTATCCTAATGGTTCACTAAGTTTATTGTAAACTATATAGTGAACAATAACCACATACTCTCCAAAATTGTTTGATGTGTATAACACA